TTCTAGGCAGGGGCTCTACCACTGAGCCACACCCCAGCCCCTCACTGGGGATTCTGGGATTGCACTCTACCACTGTGTGATGCACACTAGCCCCAGTTCGGTTTTTCATGGAGTTTGTTGTTTTGAGATACAGTTCTTTGAAACCCAATCTGTTCTTGGAATCCTAGTCCTTCTGCCTCTACTTCCCAGGTTCTGGGATTAGAGACATGAACCCTCATGTCCAGCGAACTAAAATTATTAATGTAGAATTATTGGCAACCTTGGGCAGTTGGTCAGAAACAGGTTCATAATGCAGCCAAGATGTGCTTTTCTGAGACCTTTTACTTAAACAGAACCAAGATTCTTGATCTATCTGCTGGAAAGAACTCTGGAATGAACTGGCATCGAGCAGCGTTAGTTTATTAGAAAGAGCTTTTGACACGGATTTTAGTGTGGATGCTAACAGAAAGGCTCTAAGAGGCAGGGACACACCCCAAAGCAATATGGCTTCTCAAGAGAAGAGCCTGTTCCCATGACACAGCAGCAACTATACATGTTTAGGATTGTGGTTGCTTCTAAAACTACATCTAAAATGGTTGCTAAGAAATCCTTTCTTCTCCTTCAATAAATGAGACTGTAGGATGGCCCTACAGGTAGGTACATTGGCTAGGACTGCAAGCTGATAAGACCCTGGGTCACAGCTCAGGCAGGTTGATCTTGAGCTGTGAGTTTGAGACCAGCTTGGGTTATAGAGTGAGTTCTAGGACAGCCAGGGCTACACAGAGAAACCCTGTCTCAAAAAAGGGGGGAGGGAGGGGGAGGAAAGGAAAGAAGGAGGGGGAGGAAAGGTGGGAGGGAAGGAGAGAGAGAGAGAGTGAGAGAGAGAGAGAGAGAGAGAGAGAGAGAGAGAGAGAGAATAGAGAACCTGGGACACAAGGGTTAAGACAAGTCTTCCACTACATGGGAATTCTTGTGATATTCCTAACACTTTACTGGCTTGCAGCTGAGAAAGGAGAAGGGCCATTCTCAGAGGTTATAGGGTTCAAGCCTATTCTGTATGGTCTGAAGAATGATCTATGCTTTTGGTTTTTAATGAGTGAATTTATTAAGTATATAGCAAGCAAAAGGCAAGGACTGAATATGAACAGAGAGAAGAAACAGACCACCAAATCTGGCGCTGGCTTCCTCCAGCAGAGAGCGCTGCGGGAGTTCAGCTGCGGGAGGTGACCATAGGTGATATCAAAACTGGGGCTTACAAACATCCAGCAGAAATCAGACCAGATGGGGAGGGTG